ACCTTACACCCTAAACCTTAAACCCCAAAACCTAAACGAATCTGAACACTTCGCAGCAGCATTGCAGGTTATCCCTCGGGATATGCCTTTGGCCTCATGGTTGCGTACTATGCGCAGCGCGCAGGCTGGGTTCACGCTGACAGAGCTATTGGGGGATATATGGGAATTGTAGCGAGAATATGTAGGGATCTATTCATAAACCCTAAGCCGCGGTCTGCCTACAGCGTTCTACAGGGACAGTTTGGAGAAGCTCATGAAGCAGCAAAGGGGTCAACAGCATGTTTTTGTTCTAAGTCAACTCCTGAACCCTAAGCCCTTTAGGGTTTATGATTTACGGTTCCGAACCCTGAACCCTACACCTTGGCTGGTGGTCTATTGATCTACAGATCGTGCTTGTAAAGCCTTCAAAAACCCCCACTCCCTATGTGGTTTAGGGTTTAGGGGTGATTAGGGCTCAGGGTTTAGGGTTATATGTTCTGGTAATATACTGGGCTTTACTATGAGGTCTTTGGATGATTTCCAGCTTGATGTGCTTTGCACGGTTCCACTCGCTAAGGGGATTGAAGCAACCCTAGCCCCCGCAACAGGAAACCCTACAAGAATCATATGAACTAAAGTCTAAACTCCTCAAAGGAGGGGATTATATAGGGCGGTAATGTAGGGCTTATTAAGGGTTTTACTAGGAGACTATAGCTCATATGATAGTCATTAGGCTAAGGGTTTAGGGTTTAGACCGAATTCCTCATCTAGAAGTACCGAATTCCCCCAATCGCGATAACCCTAAAACCCTAAACCCCTATACCCTATATGAGCACTACATAGTTGGCAAAGCCCTTTTGGGAATCAGAACCCTAGGCCAGCTAACAGAGAGCTACAAGAGAAGCCTGAGCCCGGAACACCAAACCGAGAGATTCCAGGAAGTTTCAGGGTTGGGTTGGCTTAGGGTTTAGGATGGAGGGTCAGTCAGTGCCTAGAGAAATGAGAATTGAATCCTCCCCCTACCTGTACTTTCTCCAGGCACTTTCGAACATGGATTGAAACCTTGCGATGCTGTACGGCCATGCAGGTGGCAAAACACCCAAACCCTCATGCCCCACCCCAAGCCCTAATGCCTAACCCTACCTTGTGGGATGTTGTAGGACATGTGGGACCTCGGGATTCCTCATGTGTTGGGGCTGTTAGAAAATCTACTTAAAAGGGCGTATTGACGGGGACAGGTTATCATCAATTTTGAGGGTCCCCGAAAGTAAGCCCGGAGCAAGGTCTACTGGGTCCCGTCCAGCCCAAGAGTCACGAGGAGCTCTCCGGCTTTGGGCGCTCAAGTGAGAAGGCCTGCGACAGAAGGGTTGAATTTAGATGGACCCCCCACCCAGTAATAGTGACTATAATGGATAATAAGGATTATATTAGGGTCCTCTTATATTCCTATTATACCACTATTACAGGGTGGGGGGTCCTTCCAAGGTTGAATCCTAGGAACTTGAGGAGAACTTTCCTCCCCACAAAAGCCTTCACTGGTGGGCTGTTCCAGATTTCAGCGCGGTAAGGGGTTCTTGCCTTGAAGGAAAGGGCATCGGTAAATCCTCAAAACTACGAAAGCCCGGAACACTGAAAGCCTCCGATGCCCAAACCCGCGAGGCTTCGAGGCCACAATCTTAGAAGGGTTTGGGCGTTTTTGTTATCACATCGTAAAAACAACCACCGCCCGCCCGACAGGCTGAGTTGTAGAGGTAGTAGGTACTCGTTGTCGTTATCCTCGTGGTGGCATGATGCTAGGTATGTTCAAATATGATGTGATGACCATGATTATGGACATGTGAGTTTGGTGCTGTTGGTAGCACTGGCAGATGTTCTAGCAGCAAGGTATACAAGAGCATAATGCTGGTCGACCTTGCGCTTGAATTTAGATGTGGAGGACACTGGATGTCACGAAACGGTAGTGAATGTCTTGCGAGGTGCCAAGAACAGTTCAGCAGTATTTTCTTTGGGGATGCTATGGCATCACGATGGTGCCCAATATAGAGTAGTACTATAGCCTCCTTGTGAGTGTGGTATCTTCTTAAGTAGAAAATAGCGTGTTTCAACCACAGACACCAGTTCTCAACTGCATGTTGGCGCGATGTCCTCAAGCGCGATGTTAAAGCCACAGCCTGGTAGTAGGTATGGTAGTAGGTATAGCAATTGCAGCAGTAGTAGTCATAGTAATAGGAGTGGTCGTAATAAGTAGTAGTAGTAGTAGTAGTAGCAGTAGTAGTAGTAGTAATAATAGTAGTAGTAATAATAGTAGTAGTAGTAATAATAATAGTAGTAGTGGTAGTAGTAATGGTAATGGTACTAGTACTAGTAATAGCAATAGTAATGGTGATAGTAATAGTACTTGCAAGCGTAGTAGTCATATGCCATCTTGCGCGAAGGTAGCTATGCCTCAGACATACACCACCCGCATCCATGACCAGACGGCAGCCGCTGGTGTTTTATCAGGGGTATTTTCGTGCGGCCCCGAGCTTCTATTGCACTTTGCCATGAATTTGCACACAGATTGGAAGGTTACCTGTGGCCCCGTCTGAATGTCCATCTGCATGTTTTGAGTGACTCCGCTGTGTGGTTGCCGCATGATCCACGTTTTGCTTGCCGCAGCGAGGGTGGCTTACAGTAGCATCTGCTAGCCACCAGTCGCACTCCAACTATCTCTCTCTCTGTACGCTTAGGGGCCAGCCAGGCGGGCTGGGGTGACAGCGTTCTTCAGAAGACCCCCTTGTTTGTTGGCAATAGGACATATAAAGGTTAATTCAGAATAATGGAAAAAGAAGAGGAAGCTACTTAGTGAGGTTCTAGAGTTTAGGGAAGTCTTCGGAAGCTTGCTGGAAGAGAGGGACATCTTCGGAAATTGCTTTTGGCCGCACCGATTGGGCATTCGGACCCTCACGGTACAAATGTTACCTCGCGCTGCGTGCGCTAGACAAGTTCAAGCCTATATCCCCTTTGATCTGAGCCGGTATTCCGCAAGACACATCGAAATGTGTTTCCTACTCCTGCTTACGTTGGCTCATTTCAGGCAGCTGGTCCTGAATGAGGACCATGATGTAAGCTCCCGAAAACACATCCTTCGTGCCTTCGAGACGTGAACAAGTGCAGAAAAGCTTCCTTATCAGCCTTGCCCAGGCACACTTCCCTGTATGTCAGATACACTTTGAACTTCTTTCCCAGTTTTCAGTAGACAAATTACAAGGGCCTCACGGGACCTCACCCCCAATGGTGGTTCACACAGTAGTTCCAATATGACGTGCTTCAGGCTCTGAAGTAAATCCAAACTGGCCAGCCTACCCAAGCCCCTGATTAATAAACCCCCTCTCCTTAATTAATAGGGGTTAGGGTTTAGGGATCCTAACTTGGGCCCTTTATAATTAAAGGAGCGAGTTGATTAATCATGGATCTACATCACATTATTACCCCTACGCCAGAAAATGTCAGTCGGCATCCTGCCAGTACCCTAAACCCTAAACCCTTAAACCCCTAAACCCTAAAGTACCCTAAACCCTTAAACCCTAAACCCTAAACCCCTAAACCCTAAACCCTTAAACCCCTAAACCCTAAACCCCTAAACCCTAAAGCCTGCCAGGGTATTGCTTATGGCATGGGCTTGCGCCCCCAAACTCGACAAGGCCTTTGAGGAGATGTCAGGATGGTTCAAGGATGGAGGCACGGCCTTTTTAGGGTTTAGGGGTTTAGGGGTTTAGGGTTTAGGGTTTAGCGTAATGCAGGCACGGCCTTTGCTTGTCAACAACTTGGCTTCGGATCTCTTAGGGATTAGGGGTTGGGGGCGCGAGGAGCGTGTAATGCCCAAATAGAGTACAGCAACATAATGGCAGGAATGTTATGTATTAAGTCAGTGCCGGGGTTAATAGGACTTGTCAGTGCTTTTGGACATTGCTTGCGTCGTTTGAGCTGGGCACTTTCGATTGCGGGCCCTGATAGTAAGATCCGAATTGCAATTTACTATTGCCGTTCACTATGGCTATACATCGCAGTTCCCAGAAATAAGGGGACCTAATCGTTATCATAGGGACCCCATTTAGTATTTCAACTACTGAGTATTACTCCGAATACACTTGCTTGCTATTACTGGCAGCTTCACTGCTCAGCAGACCTTTCTCAGTTGTCGGATTCCTTGAATACGCCCTAGCATATGAGCTATAGTCTAAACTTCTTAAAGGGGAGGTATTTCGGGGATTATATAGGGGACTACTATAGGGCTTATTAAGGGGGATACTAGGAGTTCAGAATATAGCGCATATGAAGTTTTCTCCCTAGGGAGCAAGACGAGGTCTTTGAATTGGTTGGCGCCGGCTGAGAAATTCTGCATGAGGGGTTATAGTGGTACCCCTAGCCTCACCTATAGAATCCCAGTTTGCATTGCTTTTTCCATATTCTTTTCGATTTGAATCTCCATCCATTAACCCCTAAACCCTATTACCCTATTTGTCCTGATTATGTAGGGGTGGGGAGGTCCCTGTGCTACGGGTTCTTTCTGTATGGGGAGGAGGAACTCTCTTAGCAGTGTACGAATCGTGCCAGAACACATCCTGAGCCGAGTACCTTCTCTAGATTGCTTCAAGGCCTTGTATTGCATTCTTTTTGGATGGAACTGGGTCGCTTGTCTGAGGCTTCAACCTGCGTACTCAAAGGCCATGATGGTACACATAGTCAATATGCTGGGTACGTAACGCCCGCACGGCTAACGGCCCGCAGAGATTCGACATTTAGTGGGGCAGAGAGCCTTCCGTGACGCCTCAACACAAACCCGGCAGAATCTGGACTAGGGGCCCCAAACATCTCCTCAGAATCCCTATATATGCCTGGGTCCCAAGAGAAAGACCCATATTGAGGAACCGTCACATAGCTGGCACATAACGCGTAGTTCGTCGTCTCTATGGACAGTACTAGCTCCCTCAGGCCTGTCCTAACCCCCAATTCTTCCACTTGCCGGTTCAGAAGTTCAGGTGAGAAGGAGCAGAAGGCAGACTCGAAGGACTTTGCCTACGCCCTTTCAGGAACCTGTCAACCTCACCCGTGGCACGCAAAAGGCGAGGCACCTTGCTTCGAAGAAGCGCCTGAGGGCAACGAGTGCAATCCGGCAGAGGCAGCAAACTGCATCTATAGCACTGCGAAGGCAGTGCTGGAGCAGTCGCACCAGGATTTTTTCCAGCAGCTCGTGTGCTCAGATCCCCACTATGCTGTTCTTTCCTCGCAGCTTGGGCATGGCGGCAAGGAGAAAGAGGTTCCCGACCACCGGTCTTTGGGATCTCTATCCCAGATCTCTACGGAGACACCAGAAACAGAGCAAAGCGAGGCTTCAACTCTGGATACTGGTCTTTGTTTTACACAAAAGCTTTAAGTGAGCAGCGAGAGATATGGAGCATGTGGTATATACATGTCTGTCTATATCTATGTATAAACATACACATTATGACAACAGCCATGTGGGGCTTTTTGAGGCCAAATATTGTTGCTAAGTGAATGTTTCTGTGAAGTGCGGCAGGTAGTTGAGGGATGAGGCCGATTCGAGGTTCGGCAGATTCGTCCTCCTTTGGGGTGGTTGTATTTTGTCGTAGGAGACTCAGAGAACAGCTGAAGAATGGTCGGTTGAGATACTTTGGCGATGTTTCATTGAGTCTTTGAGGCGAGGGTTTTGTGGAGGAGTGTACCGGTGGAGGGTTTGTTGTTGTCATGTTGGCTGTTTGTTGTGGTGGTACCAGCAGCAGCAGAAAAGGCAGCAGGAACAGCAGTTGTTGATGTCGTCGGTGCTGTGGGAGTTGTGTTGTTCTTGATGGTGTTGGTGGTGTTCATGGTGTTGGTCGTGTTGTGTGATGTTGGTGGTGTTGGTGGTGCGCGTGGTGGCGGTGTTGGTGTTGTGATTGTTGCCGCCGCCGCTGCTGCTGCTGCTCCTGCTCTTGCTGTTGCTATTGCAGTCGTGGTAGTGGTGATGGTGGCGGCGGCAGTGGCGGTGGCGGCGGCGGGGATAGTGATGGCCCAGCGGTGGCGGTAGCGGTAGTAGTAGTGGCTGTCGTCGCTATCGGTCGGTGTCGTTATCATTGATATTGTAAAATATTTTAAACGGGTTCAATTGGGTGTTGGTGAGCATGGCCTTGCTGCTGTTGAATGCTTGCTCGGTTGCTTGCTCCGTTGCGTCGGTGCTGGTGCCCGTGCCACCGCTGCTGAAAAACCGTAAGGAGATGGACATCAAGAAGACTGGAAGGAGTGGCGGTCCGAGTCCTGTGGCATCATGCGTTGCTGGGCCATTGGTGAGTTTATTTTTTGCCTACAACAGAGTTCCAAGACCTCACCTCTCATTCTTGAGGTCCGTGCCTAGGAATGCGGACAGGATCCTGTTCAGAAACTACCTTAAGGGGGAACAGAGTTGCGTGCCTGAGAATGACTGCGTTTTGCGGTGTGCTAGCACTCCCAAACAAACCAGCATGCACCTGATTTTTTGCTGTCCAGCGCATGATCCAGGCTAGCTCCACGAGCTGCCTCTACGCGGCAGACAACAAGCTTCAAGAGAAGCAGGTGAAGTTGCAGAAGTTTCAGATGCCGCAGGACAAGCCAGAGAAGCATGTGCCAGCCTTCCCAAGTGGCGAGCACGTGTGCGAAAGGCAGACCCCCAGGAAAACAGAAAGTTTGAAGGGGCGAAGCACAGACAGCCAGGGCTATCCTAAGGAACCTGGCCGAGTCCGGCTTCGAATTACTCCTCAGCACTTCAGCCCTCTTGGAACCACGTTCCGAGATGTCCAGGTCGACTTCTTCACAGCCAGCTTCACAATCAGAGCCATTGATTGTGAAGGCTATGCATGGACGGCATCCTCCAACAACTTGCCAGGGCGCCTAGCCGTGGACCAGTGCAAGTTCAAGATCAATCCCAATGGGAAGGAGAGCCGTCAGGCTAATTAGGATGGTAGGACCCTTTGTGGGAAGGGAGGTTCCCGTCACCCGTCTCTTTAGGATCCCTGTAGGCGGCCAGCCCTTTACAAAACCATGACACCAGGATGTGACCATCAGCCTCAGCAAGGCAGATGACGACCAGCAATGGCGGGACATGACCCGTCTCGAGCTCTCCCGCCCGTACAACCAGAAGCGGGATTGTGCTTCGGAACCATTTTTCCTGCATGTCGTTAGTTAGATCTTATGAAGATCCGTGGTGAAAACAGTCAGGGGTGTCGTGCACAACCTAGGAAGGGGGACTTGAAACATCCGCGTCCACCTACGGAGAACCAGACAATCCCAGCACACAGGCACGGAACAGCACCTTAGCATACTTTCACTCCTGGGTGCACATGGGATTTCCAAAATTCGGGTGACTTTTTTTTGGTGGTTCCAATAAAGAGGATATAAAAGGATTATAGCATTTTGGGGTCTATATAGAGGCACCCCCTATTCAGGGAGACTACCATATGTCCAATCCAGAGATGCAACGGGAAACCCGCCTCCATACCCTCCCTAAATATAGCCCCTTCGTTCAAACGACAGCCGTTTATTCCATGTTAGGTCGGGGGAGTGTATCCATGCTTGCGTGTGTCATGCTGCTGAAAACGCTAAACCCTAAACCCTAAACCCCAAACGCAGGTCCAGGCCGGTGCCGTCGAGGCTTCAGCGCAACTTTATCTGAGGAACCTGACTTGTAAGTGGCATAAGTTGTAGCATTCGGAAGGGTAGTATGAAGTAGCAGGTGCTCAAAATTGCCGTAGGAGCTATCTCAGTCTTCGTGTGTCTGTTTGCATGATTCCAGACATCTGCGGTGCCTCCTGAGAGTTGGGAATTGAGCTCTCATTCTTCAGCCGCCTTCGCCCTTGGCGCAACGGCGTAACTGTTGTTCTCGTTGATCATGGTTCAGGGGCATTCTGCCCCTCCCGCACATGGGTATTTGTCGACCTGGCGTCCAAGCTTGAAATGCATTTCTCCAGTGAATTTGCTTCCTACTATGGAGAGGAATGAGAGAACCTTACACCCCAAAGCCTAAAGCAAGAATGAGGAGGCCAGAATTTAAGCACAAAGACCCACGTGCGCCCCGGGTGGCATGGATTCCGGGTAGTTGATGTTGGCCTTGTTGCGGTGCGAGCTCACTGCCGGAGGACATGCATAGACGGGGAAGAATCGGTGCCGTTTATGGTTCAGGATGGAAACTCGTGAAACTGTGGAACTTCTATGTCAGGATGAGCTGTTCCCCAAAAATACCCAAAGGACTGGCTGGATTTGGTGGCTGTTGTGTGGGCATGCATTCAGATTTGCCATTTTGATGTAGTTTGCCCGCTCTTGGGCAAAGGCCAATGCTGCACACATCTTTAGTATTATCTTGTTGTAAGGTAGTACCTCATGCAGAAATCAGAATGCTGCCCAGGGCACAGCGGTGTGCTACCCCGGCCAATCCCATGTTTCCATCCCGTAGTCTATAGCCTGCATTGCGCAGGGTAGATAGACTGGGTAGTTTCCACAAAATGAGGCCTCTTTTGTGAATGTTTCCCAATTTAGAGCATGCTTCCTGAGGCCCCAATTTTCGGAAACTGTCTCCCGATAAACATGTAGGAAATCTAAGGGGGGACCCCAATACAAGCCCTGAAATATGTTCATCCTTGTTATAGGGTTCCCCATGTAGGATCATTTTTACCGAAGCCACCTGCAGGTCCTGAGCCAGTCATGCCACAGGATAAATTGAACCAAATCACTAGGGTTTAGGGTTTAGGGGGTAAAGCCTAAAACCCCTAGCTTTCTGGAGGCTGGTACTGTGGAGAAGAGGTCACACACAAAAAAACATAGCTTTATGGCACAAGGCAGTGTGCAGGTGGTGGCTGTTCCCGAACATCTCGCATGCCGCAGCTCTCAGAGTGCCAGGGTTTAGATTGGGCTGCTGTTAAGAAACTTTTTTGTTGAGACCATAGTCCCCCTTAAGTAGATAGAATATGGCTTTGCGTTTGTTATAGTAAGGTCCCCATATACCCCACATTCTATGTACCTAAAGGGGACTATACCAGAATAAGGAAGCCCCATTCTCAAGTAGATTCTCATACGATTGCTTGGTTTTTAAGCTCCTGAACCGCAACCCGCAGAGTTCGCGGAGCGCCTACTGCTTCCAGCCATTGCATTACGCAGATTGTCACAGCAAATGCTGGCTCCATAAACATATGAGCTATAGTCTAAACTCCTTAAAGTGGNGTTATATAGGGGATTATATAGGGGACTACTATAGGGGTTCTTAAGGGGGATACTAGGAGTTTAGACTATAGCTCATATCAATAAGCTAGCGCACAGTGATGGCACTACCAGTAAGAAGCGGTGCAAGTATGCGAGGGTTTTGCGTTGAACATGCTGGCCTGGTGGTGTAAAGAATTCAGTCGATTACAATGATTACAAGAGGTACGTATTAAAAAGATATGCCTGGAGTGCAGATGGATTTGTGTTTGCAATGCAGGGCTACCTCACTATCATGGGTTGCGTGACCCCCAGGCCAGTGACCAAGCTCACAGCTGGGAACATCTCTGCATCTCTGAACCCCAGGTGGGTACACAAAGATATTGAGCCACAGGGGCTTAGACGGATGTGCCTCAGAATTCCTACTGCTGAGTATGACTTGTTTGATTATTAGGGCACAGATTTTTTGCCACTGCGCTACACGTCTATCCTGTTGCCCTTGCAACCACATCGTTGGCCGAACATTGTTATGGCATGTCCCCTGCTCCTGATCAGTATACTAACTTTAACTGTTTGTTTCCTTGCAGTGACCAGCAAGGCAGTACCAGAAATCTGAATTCTCGTGAGGAGTGAGGACGAAAACGTGCTACTCTGCTCACTCGCGCTGCTCTGTCATTGGGTTCCACTAATAATAATACTAGAAGTAGCAGTACTGATCTAAACTAATGGCAAGAATCAGACAATGATCATTGAAGTCAGAGCTGTCACAAACAAGCAGGGTGGTTGTTGTTGGGCTTGACACCTTATACCCTCTCATAGACTAACATGGAACCCCCAAAGCGGCGCTCAGAAACTAGTGTCCTTCTAAGGGTGGGCTGCATGCTTCGTGTTCTACGCGTTTAAGGTTTAGGGTTTAGGGTTTCTGGAAGGGTGTCCTAAACCTTGGGATGTGTTTCTTGTGTCTTGGGGCGCGCTCCGGAAGGTATAGCAACAATGAGCCAGAGCATCAACAGCTGGCGGCCCCCCAAAGTACCTGAATAGGGGGACCCCAGTATGGACCCCAAATGCTAAAATCCTTGCTATGGGGATCCCCCAAAAAAGGTAGAAACCTTAGCCCTAAACCCTAAACCCTGGGTTATCACTGCCTTCAAGGCAAGGGGCCAACTCATTCATTGAACACTCCCCCCCCCCAGCCAAATGTTAAATATTATTGAGGATCAGGGAGTCTGCTGGACTCCACTTTGGAATATGTTTGCCTAGGCTGCGGGATACTGGAACAGAAAATGGAAGCTACTATAGTATTGGAAAAGAAAATGGAAACAACTATCAAACAAGAGGTTGACTGAGAAATCTATGGTTTTGTTTGCATCAGATTCCAGATTCCGCAGGAAATGCAGGCTGTTTTTTGTTTGAACGCCTTCAATCTAATTGCATGTTGGTCTCGCCATAAATCCAAAAAGCCTCGACATCATCCCCCATGTATATTATTGAGGAGCAGGGGCCTGATGGATTACCCTGGTTGGATACCCCCTTTTGGAATTGGATTGTCTAGCCTCTTCGAAAAAGAATGAGAAATGGATTGTTGTTGGCGGCGCCGAATTCAAGATTTCACAGGTCTACCCCTTAAGTAGATGGAATATGGCTTTCGGTATATTTTATTTTTAAGATCCCCGTACTCCTTTGTATTTGAAGTCCGGGTTTTTAAAACCAAAAGCATTCTGGCCTGCTTAACGCCTTCCCCAAACTGGTGTAGGCAGCCACAACTTTACTTTACTGGAACCTCGGCAAATGGAATAAGGGGTGCAGAGTTTGTTTTCTGAAAGTTTTATACCTCCCCCCCCCCTCCCCCCCGCCCCGTACTAATCAGTATTCAACATTAAGCTCTGATTCTTCTGCGTTTGCGTTGTAGACAAGCGGTGTACTATTCCATGCCGAAATGCCGAAGAAAACGGGTTTGGTTCTACAAGGCAGGGTGTCCTAAATTATTTTCGGGTCTCCATATGGGACCTGCATGCTTCGCAGCTTTCTATACTCCCCACAGGAGGTTATAGCAAAATGAAAAACATCTTTCTTGACATGTTAAAAATGCGTATCTGAATGAGACGCACTTAAGTTCAAGCTGATTCTACTGAATTTCTTTGGGGTCAAAAAAAAAGCACCTGCAAGCAACTGGAGCTCTCACGTCTCTCAAGTCATTTAGGGGTTTGGGGTTTAGGGTTTAGGGTTATCAATTTTGTCCCTCTTGTAACCTCATAGCGGAGGACATTTAGGAACATAGGTTTGGTTCAACCAGTGGCCTAATTGGTCAGTTGTTGGCTATTTGGGTTAGCGATTGTTATAGTACTCTTCCCAAAGGTACCCCCCCTCACATTCAGAATTCTTTTAGGCTTTATTAAGCCCTATATAGTCCTTATTAACTCCTTAAACCCTGGGGGGTTCCCTTTGGGGGGGTACCATTGTAACCCTTTGCTTGGGTTATACATAATATTTGTACCTCCTTGCTATTAAGGGGGAAATGCATGCCTAGAGAGTCTCATTCGCTACAATAGCACACTAATATCATGCTTACAATCACTTATAGCTTGGGTACTGCCCTCCCCCCTCCCCCCAGTAACAGTCTATATTAGGGTCCTATTAAGGGCTATATATGACCATATTATATTTATTATCCAACTGTTATTGAGGCTTGGCAGTACCCAACTCATAGCTTACACGGTGGGGGGTCCACCTGAGTAATTTACTTGAACCAGAGACAGTTTTGCAATAAAAGTCGTTAAGAGCTGGCCTGGAAGGCGTTCCCGCCCTAGGATATGTATATATGGGCAATTCCCAAAATTATCGTCCCATTAGGTGCCGTAATGTAATCTGTAACCAAAAGGGGCCCATAATTTCGAGAACAACCCAAACAAATTTTGAAGCCTCCGATAGGGCCCAAAGGCATTCACAATGTAGACGACATGAGCTTTCTTACCGGTTAATTAGGAAGTATGATGGCCCCAAATACATTAATTAGCTAGCTGGTTAAGCTCAACTACATGTTGAGTCTTCATCCATTTGGAAATTCCATCTACCTGAGTTAGCTTACCCTACGTTTTTCATATAGACTAAAAGCTGTGTTAAAACTAAACAACTCGGGTACCAAAACCAGTTATCTACTTCGAACATCCTTGCCCTTACCTTTTCGCGGTTGCGGCCGCATTTTCGACTACTTCCCGCAACAATATGGAGCATGAATCGGCAAGACAAATCTAAAATGTTGCGCGAGCCTGGACACATAACAGCTGTACATTCCAAGCAGTACTGTTGCAGTGGCAGGGTGGCTTGTGTGAGGCTTGGCTTTTTCATAGATATGGCAATTTTCCAAAATAGGGGAATCCCAATATAGACACCATTTTGTTTTACTATAATCCTCATTACGGGGCCCCCCAAAATGGTACCTTTTCACAGCGTCAAGAGGCCCTGGCCAGCCGAAGCGTGCACGGG